TGTGGTGATATTGCTGCGGTGGTCAGGGGGGAGTTACCTGTGTTGGTATTGTGTTTGTGTTGTTTGGCTTTGTTCTTCCAGCACCTATACAACAGTGTACAACATGTGGTGGGGGTTGAGCCCCTTAGCCAGCCAGATGGAGGGGTGTTCCCACCAATGAATGGGCCAGTAATAATCAAGACCCAAATACAACAGGAGAGTCCACATAACCCACACAGAGGTCATTCCTAGAGCACCCAGATCAAGAAGTCAAGGTCTGCACCACTGGGTCCCACAGCATGACTGCTAACACACAAGGCCACTCCACAAGCCAGAGAGTGAAAGCAAATCAATCTAATACATAGAAACAGACCCAGGGAGACAACTAAAGTGGAATTGACAGAAAATACTCCAAGTAATGAAAAGCAAGGATCTGCAACCTAGATTACTCTATCCAGCAAGGCTCTCATTTTAAATAGAAGGCAAAATAAAGAGCTTCCCAGACAGAAGAAGGCTAAAAGAGTACATCTCCACCAAGTCAGCACTGCAAGGGATACTCAAGAGACTGTGTTAGGAAGAAGAAAAAGAAGGGGAAGAAGGGTAAGAGGAGGAAGAGGAAGAAGAAGAGGGAGGCAGAGAAGGAGAAGAAGAAAGGTTGGTGGGGGAGAGAGAAACACAGGTACAGAGGGGGGAAATGGGAATGACCTTAAATGTAAATATATTAAATGCTCCAATCAAAAGATATAGAGTAGCTGAATGAATAAGAAAACATGACCTGCATATATGCTGCCTTCAAGACACCCACCTCAGAACAAAAGACCTATACGGATTGAAAGTGAAGGGATGAAAAAATCCATCAAAAAACTACTTGACCTAATAAGTGAATGTGGCAAAGTAGTTGGATACAAAGTCAATATTCAGAAATTGATGGCATTTTTGTACACCAGCAATGAACTATCAGAAAGAGAAACTAAGAAAAAATAATCGCATTTACCATAGCAACAATATAAAAGTTCCTAGGAATAGATTTAACCAAGAAGGTAAAAGACCTATACTAAGAAAACTATAGAACATTTAGGAAAGAAATTGAGGAAGATAAAATACATTGAAGTGTATACCCTGTTCATGGACTGGAAGAATCAGCATCATTAAAATGTCCATACTACCCAAAGCAATCTATAGATTCAACGCAATTCCTATGAAAATACCAAAGTCATATTTCACAGATATAGAACAAATATTCCAAAAATTTATATGGAATCCCAAAAGATCCCAACTAGCCACAGCAATCTTGAGAAAGAAGAGCAAAGTTGGAGGGATCATAATACCTGATATAATATTATACTACAAGGCCACTGTAAATATAACAGCCTGGTACTGACGTAAGGGCAGATACATAGATCAATGGAACAGAACAGAGAGCCCAGAAATAACCCGTGTCTCTATGGTCAGTTAATATCGGACAAAAGGGCATAAGCATACAATGGCGTAAAAATAGCCTCTTCAGTAAGTGGTGTTTGGAGAACTAGATTGGTACATGCAAAAAATGATACTAGACCACCAATTTACACACACCAGGATAAACACAAAATGAATAAAAAACTTAAATATAAGTCATGTTACCATAAAAATCCTACTGGAAAACAGGCAGTAAAATTTCAGATATCCCATATATATCTGTTTTTTGCCAATATATCTCCTAGGGCAAGGGAAATAAAGGACAAAATAAACACATGATACTACATCACATTAAAAAGCTTCTGCATGGCTAAATAAATCATCATCAAAATGAAAAGGGAACTGACTGGGAGAACATATTTGCCATTGATACATTGGACAAGGGGTTGATCTTGAAAATATATAAAGAATTCATCCAACTCAATACCAGGAAGACAAATAATCCAATTAAAAATGGGCAAAGGACCTGAATAGACACTTCTCCAAGGTGGACATACAGAGGGCCCAGAGGCATATGAAAAAATGCTCATCACTAGCCAACAGAGAGATGCAAATTAAAACCACAATGAGATATCACCTCACACCTGTCATAATGGCCATCAATAATAAACCCACAAATGACAAGTGCTGGCGAGGATGCAGAGAAAAGGAAACGCTAGTACACTGTTGGTGGAAATGCAGACTGGTGTAGCCACTGTGGAAAACAGTATGGAATTTCCACAAAAACTTAAAAATGGAGCTGCCTTTTGACCAGTGATTCCACTGCTGGGATTATAGTCTAAGAATGTTGCATCACCAATTCAAAAGAACTTATGCATCCTTATGTTCAAAGAAGTGCTATTTACAATAGCCAAGTGTTGGAAAGAGTCTAAGTGCCCATCAGTAGATGAATGGATTAAAAAACTGTGGTACATTTACACAATGGAATACTATGTATCACAGAGAAAGAAGAAGTAATTCCTACTCTTTGTGACAGTATGGATGGAACTGGAGATTATTACGTTAAGTGAAGTAAGCCATTTGGTGAAAGACATACCATATGATCTCATTTATAAGAGGAATCTAATGAACAAAATAAGCTAACGAGCAAAACAGAACCAAAGACATGGAAATAGAGAACAGATTTACAGCTGTCAGAGGAAAGAGGGGAGGGGAGAATGGTGGACAGAATGGGAAGGGGTTAGACCAAAATTCTGTATGTATGACCCATGGACATGGACACGGACAACAGCGGTGGGATGGACTGGGGTCACAGGGGGTGGGCTAGACAGAGGAAGGCTAAGGGGGACAGTCGGGACAACTGTAATAGAATAAAGAAGAATAAAAGAAGAGTTCTTTTATTGGACATGGTTGACTTGAATGTCTATTAGACATTTAAGTAGATATGTGTGTCTGTAACAATTCAGGGCAGAGGTATGTTCATCATGGACAGAAGTTGCAATGTGGTTACATGTGATCTTTCTGCATTCTTTTTGCAACTTATTTTAAAGTAAAAGAAATTTAAATATATACATATACATATATATGTATTTGAATCTCTTACCTTAAATTATGACCTTCTTTAGTTATCCACGGTATACAACACCATACTTCCATGAAAATGGGAGTCAAAGTGGATATCTTTGTAAATACGCCAAACTTATGAGATGTTGATTATGTTCTTCACTTATTAACGCTACACACTTTTAATCCATTGGCAGTTTTCTTTATATTTTAGTGCTTAAACTTTTCATTTGAGCAGAACGTATACATATTTAATGTACCCGAAAGATGAAATGTTTGGTCATTTGTTACACTAAAAAGCAGTAGTGAGACACTCTGGCAAATATAGAATATTGCAAGCATCTTAGGGAGCCAAATACGTTTAATATATCAAAATTATAGGTAGTTCTGTGATATTTATTGACAACTTGTAGTAGCTGGATCCTATGAAAACACATGATTGTGGCATTATTTTATTAATTCATAAAATGCTCATTATTTTAAAAACATACATTCTCATTTCTCCTGAAAATGTGAAATTCCATATTTGTTATACAATTTTTTGATTATTAACTTGTTAACATTATTTCTGTGTTTGTCTTTCTTAATACCACAATAGTGGAATAGAGATGTTAAGATGTTAATAGAGATGTTAGGAGGTAATAGAGATTACTTTTTTTTTTAAATATAAATATTCAAAGGCTTAGAGATCCAGCTGAAAAATGCAGCACAAATTCCTCTTATTCAGTTTTAACAAAATATCGTCTATCTTGAAAATTATCTGCACTGACATCAAAATTCCTAAGTAACAGCAGAAAACTGGCTAAATATTTATAAAATTATAGCTTCCTGTTGTAAAATTTTAATTTGTTATACTCAGAGAATGATTGTTCTTAAAGAAAAAACAAATGATTTTCTGAAAATATGTAAAGGATCTTAAGTTGCTTCACTAGCTTGATTTCATATCACTTCCATCAAAAAGGATTTTGTTTGATGAAACAGCAAAGTGAAACAGCCCATACTTTGTTTAGAGGAGTCATTTTATTTGAAGGCTTGGGGGATGGAAAATGGAAATGATCCTTGTCTGATATTATACTAAACTGTCAAATGCTTATGGAATGTACACAGTTATGAACATTGTGTTTACTAAATATAAAGGAAAATAAAGCACTGCCTTCTTTCAAAAGAGCTTAGTGTTAACAAGGGAGTAAAATCAAAGGGACAGGATAGGGTGGGGTTGTGTGCAAAAAGTTCTTTTTGGGGTGAACTCCTTTTCAAAGCTCGTAAACATGGGCAGCTTGACCAGATGTGAAGATAGAAGGGTTGGTAATTCATGGATTGAGGGAGGAGGTTGTAATCAGGGGCATCACAAAATCCTCTCCCATTAGTGGGCCCCTATAAATAAACACGCTGGTCTGCAGGCTGGCTTTACTCTTAATTAAAATGATGGAATAAAAAATTTACAATACTGGTATACTGACATGAGTTTACTAACTTGAATTTTTAGGCACTCCCAAAGTTTTATTTTTGCTGTTAATTCCAACTGTATTTCTCTTCAGAGCCTTCTAAAAATGGAACATTTTAATCTGTCTCCATTCCCTATATTTATTATGCTCTGTCAACAATATTTATAAGCAGGGAAGTATTCTGAAAGCTGGAAGGCACAAGCAGTGAGAAAGAGCATACATTTCTGAACTGGATCATCAGTCCCTGGAAAATGCAAATTGATTAGGCTTCATTCAGCAAGACAAGGCTGGAAGATAACTTAGGTAATAAGGTTAGAAGTCCTTAGGCAAATTATAATTTTAGATTATTAATTCTTCACAAAATCTGTTAGCCACTCTTGTATTTTGCCACATTGACTAGAGTGTTCCATGCTCATAAAATCATATTTCTCTTACTGAAGGTAATATTTACTGAGTAAATACCAAATTCCAGGCAGTCTTCTCAGGGGTTAACATTCATTAACCCCTAAAATTTATAAAGGCATCTCTGTCATATAATTCATTGATTGAACCACTATTCTCATTTTTTTTTCTCTCAGGATATTTGTTTCATGTTCATTATTTCTTCTCTTTCAGCTCTTCTTTATGCAACTATTTTTGGAAATGTTACCACAATCTTCCAGCAAATGTACGCCAATACCAACCGATACCATGAGATGCTGAATAATGTACGGGACTTTCTGAAACTCTATCAGGTCCCCAAAGGCCTTAGTGAACGAGTCATGGATTATATTGTCTCAACATGGTCCATGTCTAAAGGCATCGACACAGAGAAGGTATGGGTAATTGTTTTTGTTGTTACTTATTTTCTATTTCAATAGGATCTTCAGATGCCTGTCATTCTCCCACTCACATAATGCTTGTATAATTGCTTCATAAATGCTACTCTATTTCAGAAGTAACATATTAATCAATCATATTATTGAGTGCTTAGAAGGTGCAAAGCCCTCAACCATCAATCATCAATTAGCACTAGTCATCACGCTTAATTTAGAAATTGTGGTTCCTGAAAACAGCTAATTACTGCATTTCCATAAAACACTCTTATTACCACTCAGAGTAATTTGCTGCATTCCTCCAAAATTCTAAAAGTGCCACCATTTCTCCTGGTAGATTCTATTCCTTTGACTTTTTGCCCATTTTAAGTTTTGAAAGCAACTTCCTTGCTTATAACCTGAAAAATTTTGTTTGCTATCCTCCACTTAAATTTCTTCTCTTTCTCTCACATGTTTATAAAGCAACATATAATTGTTTGTTTTTCCCATACAAATCTATTAAATGGGTATCATCCTCTCTGTTCATTTGACATATCTAAGTTCTTGCTTGTATTTTCATGGAACCTTTAAATTTTTTTTCCATCTATCTTGTATTAGGGGCAAAGAAGGAACTGAAAGCCTGCTCACAATAAACAAAACTGTATTTTTCAAAAAATTTCACTGCTGCCCTGATTGGTGTGGCTCAGTGGGTTGGGCGTCATCCTGGAAGCCAAAAGGTCACCAGTTGGATTCCCAGTTGGGGCACATGCCTGGGTTGCAGGCCAGGTCCCTGGTTGGGGAAGTGCAAGAGGCAACCCAATCGATGTTTCTCTTTCTCCATTTCTCCCTCCCCTCCCCTCTCTCTAAAAATAAATAAAAATAAAATGTAAAAAACATTTTCACTTCGTACACCCAACTGATGCACACAAGAGTTTTGGGGAAAACTGATCGTAAGCTATGTTACTTTGTAAGCATCAGTGGAGACTTTTATTTTTAGGTATTGATTTTTGACAAGTGATCGTGATACAGCACATTCCTTTCCTTGTCATTTCCTGCAAATTTGATTTGTTCTCTCAATTGTATGAGGTTTACTTGTAGTTTTTCTCTAAGACCAGCTCAACAAGCACCTTTCAATGGGAAGGAGCAAATGAGTAAAGTAGATGTTTAACTAGGGGAATTTCATGAAATAAGTAGGCAGACTTTTAAACCAGAGCAAGCATTGCTAGGAGTAGATGGTCGAGGGGATGTGTAAAGAATGAAAATAGAAGGTGAAAATTGAGGGAGAGAAGTCTCAGAGGGTGTGCAGGTGAGCTACTCAAGGGTAACCATTTGGGAGGGTAGTGAAAAAGGGTGAGATGTGCGCCTCGTAAACATTTTACAAGATGCAGTATAGATTTTCTAGTCAAATACCCACTTAAAGTGAAAGATGTAACTACAGAGGAGTAAAGGACACAGTACATTTCTGTGGAATTTGATTAATATGTAAATGAGCCAATAGATGGTTAGTAGAGAGAGTATCCAAAGAAAGAACAGAATCTTCCTCAGAGGTGCAGGTGTGAGTCAGTGTTTAAAGCTCAAATGCAGGATATCCTTTGAGGTCCACATTCAGGGAAACTGAGATCAAAAAGCAACTATCTACCTTGTCCATCACCATCTCAGGTAGAAGCTTTTCTTTCCAGAAAATACAATGGGGTCACATTATAGCTGACAGAAACATCAGTAAAATTATGGAATAATGGCCTTTTACATTAGGAAAAAACCTGACTTGTAGCCTGTGCTACTTCTGGTGGACTTGCTCAACTGCCTGCTTTATAACCTTGTTAAGGTATAATGCACTGGCATGGGGTGTTGGCATGGCACATACCATGTAGCAGGAAATTATTTCTGGGCTCCTATTATTTACCACAATATTTTGGTGTTCATAATTTGTAGTCACAGAAATGTACTTCTGATAAGTAGAGTATCCACTTGAATAATAGGAAAAACAGGTGGAGAGGCCAATATTAAACGTGAAATAAAATTTTAAATCAAAAGAAAAGATTTTTAAAGAAATAAATATAGATATTAAAGTGAATTAGCTTTGGGAAAAAATTATGGTTGTGTCTTTTGAATGGGAAATCTTTGGGTAGTTGTTATTGACTAATACAAGGAGCGCATTTAACTAACTGGTAAATATGAAAGTTTTGTTGTATATGTATAAAATATATCTAAATTTAATTTATTGTGGCAGCAAACTTTCCAGGCCTATGTTAATTTCTTCCAGCCTATTAAGAAAATCCCCACCCAGATGCATAAGAACTAACCATAATAGCACTGTAAGTAAAGTGATAGAAGCCAAAGCCTTGGTCTGGGAAGCGGGTATAGGACATTTCCACTAATTGCATAGGCAATGAGGGTGAATTTAAAAATGTGTTCTTATACTACATACTATACAAGATACCAAACAAGAAGAAAACAAAAATAGGCATCTAGATCTCTAGAGTAGTAGTGATCCTAACAACTAGGGAGAAGACCTATGTTCCTGTTACACATTCAGTTATTTGACTAATAAATAGTGTACAAGGTCTGTCTGGAAAAAGTCCAGCCATTGTTAACATAAAGAGAACAGTTTGTGCAAATCAATGTAGACTGGAATGCACATGAATGAACAATGATGACTTTACTGTACCAGTTAGTGGAGGCAGTAGATGCCATTGAGTGAGCAAATGTACTGTGTAGCCGGTGCATTCAAAATGACTGAGTAAGTAGAACAACGACTCTGCATCTCATTTTCTGTTAAGCTTCAACATTCCTCCACAAAACTATTCGGATATTCAGAAGGCCGCAGCTATGGGCCACTGGTGATGAGCAGCTTCATCACAACGACTTGCCCACTTATCATCACTTTTCATGCAGAGATTTTTGACAAAACATCAAATGACCCAGGTAACTCATTCTCCCTACAGCCTATATTTGGCACCCTGTGACTTCTGGCTTTTCCTAAAACTAAAATCATCTTTGAAAGGGAAGAGATTTCCGGCTTTCAGTGAGGTTTAGGAAAATATGACAGGGCAGTTGATGGCAATTGGGAGAACTCTGTGAGGTCTCAAGGTGCCTAATTTGAAGGGGACTGAGGCTATATTTTCCTATGTATGTTTCTTGCCTCTTGTATATTCTTCAATAAATGTTTCTATTTTTCATATCATGTGGCTGGATACCTACTGGACAGACCTTGTATATAACATATAACTTTAAAATAGTATAATAAAGTAGGAAAGTATAGATGCAACAATTAGTAGCCAAAAGAAAGATAGGGAATAGATATCTCAGAACTAGATTTTACTATGGATAAAGAATCAAGGAACATGTATAAAGGACCCATGGACAAAGCCAAAGGGGAGGGTAGGATTGAGGGTAAGAGGTGAGGGTGAGTAGGGCAGGGGAAAATGGTTGCGGGAAAATGGAGACAACTATACTTGAACAGCAATAAAAATTTTTTTAAAGAAAAAAATAGAACTGAATATAAGTTAAAGGACACATTGCAAAGACAATTGATTCATTATTTCATGTAATTATAACATGAGCTAAAAATCTAAGGAAATGTTTAATGAGTATCTTTCCACAGGACAACATAAATATCAGAAGGACTGAGAGTTAAGTATAAAAAATAAGAAACTATAAACTATTAGAAGAAAATATATAATTTATTTTTGTATGTGTTAAAGCAATGGAATACATAATGAAGTAAGTGATAAATAGATTTGTCTAGAAAATGTAAAACTTCTCATACCAAAAACTATGAAAATGAGAGAATTTTCAATAGATATCATAAGTGAAAGATGAATTATCTTAATATGTAAAGGTGATTTTATAAATCAGTAAGAAGAATCAAAGACAAAAATGAGCTGAGCACATAGGTAATTTATAGAAGACAAAAATACAAATTACTAATAAACATGCAAGAAAATATTATTTTTACCTGTAATAAATTAATATTGAACAGAAAAAAACCACTTTTAATGTGTAAAATGGACAAGAAAAAATGCTCAATCTTAGCCAAGGCTGTAGTGACTGACACTATCATATAACTTTGGCCTGTGTGTAATTTGATTGTGCATTGCTTGAATGAAGTCTGACCAAAATAATATCCTAAACTGAGGATAGTCTACAGCTCAATCCTGTCCTCTTTTTTTTTTTTCTGACTATAATTCTTTCCCTCAATGATACCATATAATCTAAAGATTTTAGAAATATATGCTACTACCATTGAAATATACATATTCATTTTGGATCTATTCCCTGAAATGTAGACTTGCCTATCCAATTTCTTTCTTATGTCCAATGAAGTTGTCCAGAAGTGCACTGCCAAGCATCTCCCATCAACCTGCTCTGCTGACATTCTTTCCCAATGCAGTTAATGGAAACTCCACCCCTTAGTTGCTTAGGGTGAAAACCCTGACGTTAAAACCTCCACCAAATTTTGTTGGCTCTAGCTCCTGTTCTTGTCACCTTTATTGCGATTACCTGGTTGAAGTCACTGTCATGTTCTATCTGGGTTACGGTATAGCTAGATAACTTTTTTCTTTTGTCTCCATATAGTGTATTCTCAGCACTGCAGCCAATGAGTTTATATGACTTCCGTAATAAAGGTTTCTCTCTATCTGTCTATCTGTCTATCATCTATCTATCTATCTATCTATCACCCATTCATTCATCATCTATATATCTTTTATTTATATTCATCTTTAGTGGGGGATTTTTTTGATACTAAGAATGAAATGAGCCTGTTAAAAATACAAGGGTAGAAAAAAAATGAAAGGCTGGTAACAGTAATGACATAAATTCTGTAATTATAGTCATAAAAGCTTAGAAACATGAATGTACTTGATGATGTAACTTTAATAAGTAGTTTCTCAATTTTAACAAATATCCCAGATTTGATGTTAGAGATTTGTATTAGGTTTCTTATTCTTCAATAAGGCAAATACTTGTCTTACTGTAGTTCTTGTCTTACAGTTTGTTATTTCTTTCTAATATTTTAT